ATGCCTTAGAACACCTTAGCAACACCATAGCAACCACCCAAAATACCTCAGAACACCCTAGCAACACAATAGCAACCACCTAAAATACCTTAGAACACCCTAGCAACCACCTAAAATACCTTAGAGCACCCTAGCAACACCCTAGCAACCACCCAAAATACCCTAGAACACCCTAGCAACCACCAAAAATACCTTAGAACACCCTAGCAACCACCAGAAATACCTTAGAACACCCTAGCAACCACCCAAAATACCTTAACAACCCCTTAGCAACCACCCAGAACACCCTAGCAACCACCCAAAATACCTTAGCAACCCCCTAGCAACCATCCTTAACACCCTAGCAACCACCCAAAATACCTTAGCAACCACCTAGCAACCACCCAGAACACCCTAGCAACCACTCAAAATACCTTAGCAACCACCTAGCAACCACCCACAACACCTTAGCAACCCACTAGAAACACCCTAGCAACATTTAATTACTTGAAACTATACTTTAACCTTTAAACTACTTTCAAACTTTAAACTATTTAAAACTTTAAACTACTTTAAAATAATTTAAACTTCAAACTACTTTAAAATTCAAATTTATTTAAACTTTAAAATAATTTAAACTTTAAACTACTTTAAACTTTAAACTAAGTTAAACTTTAAACTACTTTAAACTATAAACTACTTTAAACTACTTTAAATTACTTTAAACTAAGTTAAACTATAAACTACTTCAAACTAATTTCAACTTTAAACTAATTTAAACTTCAAACTACTTTAAACTTCTTCAAACTTTGCGGTCCAAACTTTCACAAGCCAACTTAAAGTTTGTCTCGACGAACTTTGTCTAGTTATTAAGTTGGCTTGTGAGAGCCAACTTACTGATGTTGTATTTAAACTTATTATTATTATTATTAAGTTGGCTTGTGAGAGCCAACTTACTGATGTTGTATTTAAACTTATTATTATTATTATTAAGTTGGCTTGTGAGAGCCAACTTACTGATATTGTACTTAAACTTATTATTATTCTTCTTCTTGCTGAAAAAATTTACAACTCTATCTCCTCCTAGAGCTTTAACTCCACATACTCCAAATTCGGCTCGGACACTCAAACTGTTCTGACTCGCGTTGCTATATCTTTTCTAACTGATCGGACTTACGGTTTTCCTAAAAATGACGATCAAAACTCGAAAAAATCCATTTGAAAATCCCATTGACTTAACATTGCGGAATGTTCAGGTTTTCCAACTGCCAAACTGCCAAAAATTCAAATCTAAATCCCTTGAAACCCTAGACTAAATCAAACTGCCATTCTATATACTATATGAGCCATTGAGACTCATTCAAACTAATAAACTCATACACTTATAAACTCGTGAATTCATACACTTATGAACTCTTAAGCTCATAAATTAATAAACTCTGAACTCTTACTCATGTAAACTTATAAACTATAAACTCATAAACTCGTACACTTATAAACTCATACACTTATAAACTCATGAATTCATACACTTATGAACTCAAACTCATAAATTAATAAACTCTGAACTCTTACTCATTTAAACTTATAAACTCTAAACTCATAAATTCATACACTTATAAACTCATGAACTTATAAATGCATTAATTCATACACGTATGAACTCTCATGAATTCATACACTTATGAACTTTTAAACTCTAAACTACTAAAAAAACTAAAAAAATAGTTCACCATAGCAAACACCCAGAACACCCTAGCAACTGCATAGCAACCACCCAGAACACCCTAGAAACCAACTGAAATACCTTAGAACACCCTAGCAACACCATAGCAACCACCCACAATACCTTAGAACACCCTAGCAACCACAAAATATACATTAGAACACCCTAGCAACCACCCAGAACACCCTAGCAACCACCCAAAATACCTTAGAACACCCTAGCAACCACCCAAAATGCTTTATAACACCCTAGCAACCACCCAAAATACCTTAGAACACCCTAGCAACCACCCAAAATACCTTAGAACACCCTAGCAACACCCTAGCAACCACCAAAAATACCTTAGAACACCCTAGCAACCACCCAAAATACCTTAGAACACCCTAGCAACCACCCAAAATACCTTAGAACACCCTAGCAACACCATAGCAACCACCCAAAATACCTTAGAACACCCTAGCAACCACCCAAAATACCTCAGAACATCCTAGCAACACCCTAGCAACCACCAAAAATACCTTAGAACACCATAGCAACACCATAGCAACCACCCAGAACACCCTAGCAACCACCCAAAATACCTTAGAACACCCTAGCAACACCCTAGCAACCACCAAACATACCTTAGAACACCCTAGCAACCACCCAGAACACCCTAGCAACCATCCAAAATACCTTAGAACACCCTAGCAACACCCTAGCAACCACCCAAAATACCTTAGAACACCCTAGCAACACCATAGCAACCACCCAAAATACCTTAGAACACCCTAACAACACCCTAGCAACCACCCAAAATACCTTAAAACACCCTAGCAACACCATAGCATCCACCTAAAATACCCTAGAACACCCTAGCAACCACTCAAAATACCTTAGAAACCACCTAGCAACCACCCACAACACCTTAGCAACCCACTAGAAACACCCTAGCAACATTTAATTACTTGAAACTATACTTTAACCTTTAAACTACTTTGAACTTTAAACTATTTAAAACTTTAAACTACTTTAAACTACTTTAAACTAATTTAAACTTCAAACTACTTTAAAATTCAAACTTATTTAAACTTTAAACTACTTTAACTTTCAAACTAATTTAAACTTCAAACTACTTTAAAATTCAAACTAATTTAAACTTTAAACTAATTTAAACTTTAAAGTACTTTAAACTTTAAACTAAGTTAAACTTTAAACTACTTTAAACTATAAACTACTTTAAACTACTTTAAACTTTAAACTAAGTTAAACTATAAACTACTTCAAACTAATTTAAACTTTAAACTAATTTAAACTTCAAACTACTTTAAACTTCTTCAAACTTTGCGGTCCAAACTTTCACAAGCCAACTTAAAGTTTGTCTCGACGAACTTTTTCTAGTTATTATTGTATAAGTAAGGGATAATGTACATCCAGCCGGATGTTATCTCAGAATAAACGCCGACAGGGTGATGAGGACTTGATCGGCCTGAAGGGGTTTATTCTGAGATAACACACACACACACACACACACACACACACCTGAAGGGGTTTTATTCTGAGATAACACACACACACACACACACACACACACACACCTGAAGGGGTTTATTCTGAGATAACACACACACACACACACACACCTGAAGGGGTTTATTCTGAGATAACACACACACACACATACACACCTGAAGGGGTTTATTCTGAGATAACACACACACACACACACACCTGAAGGGGTTTATTCTGAGATAACACACACACACACCTGAAGGGGTTTATTCTGAGATAACACACACACACACACCTGAAGGGGTTTATTCTGAGATAACACACACACACACACCTGAAGGGTATTATTCTGAGATAACACACACACATACACACCTGAAGGGGTTTATTCTGAGATAACACACACACACACACACCTGAAGGGGTTTATTCTGAGATGACACACACACATACACACACACCTGAAGGGGTTTATTCTGAGATAACACACACACACACACACACACACACCTGAAGGGGTTTATTCTGAGAAAACACACACACACACACCTGAAGGGGTTTATTCTGAGATAACACACACACACACACACACACACACACACACACACACCTGAAGGGGTTTATTCTGAGATAACACACACACACACACACACCTGAAGGGGTTTATTCTGAGAAGATACACACACACACACACACACACACACCTGAAGGGGTTTATTCTGAGATAACACACACACACACACACACCTGAAGGGGTTTATTCTGAGATAACACACACACACACACCTAAAGGGGTTTATTCTGAGAGAACACACACACACACCTGAAGGGGTTTATTCTGAGATAACACACACACACACACCTGAAGGGGTTTATTCTGAGAAGATACACACACACACACACCTGAAGGGGTTTATTCTGAGATAACACACACACACACCTGAAGGGGTTTATTCTGAGATAACACACACACACACCTGAAGGGGTTTATTCTGAGATAACACACACACACACACCTGAAGGGGTTTATTCTGAGAAGATACACACACACACACACCTGAAGGGGTTTATTCTGAGATAACACACACACACACCTGAAGGGGTTTATTCTGAGATAACACACACACACACACCTGAAGGGGTTTATTCTGAGATAACAACCAGCTGGATGTACATTATCCCGCTTATTACAGGTCTACTTGCCACATAAGTAAATAATTAGACACGAAATATTGATGTGAGTTGAAATATTTTATTAGGTCTTTAAACACAAAGCTTCTGCGGAGAGAACAGTTTCAGCGGCGAGTTCAAACTAGACGAACATTTAAGAGATACGGTATACAGTAATACACTTATTACACAGCATTTCACCACATAAATAATTATGGAGATCAGAGATGTTCATTTCAGATTAAACTGTTTTAAAATTGTACCGGTTTGTATTTTATAATCCAACAGTGTACAAAACAATAGTTACAAAATGGCAGCAGCTGTGTTTATGAAATGAGAGACCGAGTCCACGATGGCATAATTAAATAACTATACACAAAATATTGATTTGACTGAGTTTTAATATTTATTTGCTCACAAAAAATTGCAAAACTTCTACGAAGAAAAAACGTTCATAGCGATCGTATAGCGCCGCTGACTTCAGTGACCCGGATGAGCCTGTGTTTTGTTTTGTCAGCGGTTGTTATCTGGGAATAACACACCGCTCGATGGCGCGATCGACCAATCAGAATCAAGTATTCCACAGGGCCGTGTAATAACAGTATTTCATTTATTCCTTTGTCTTCTCATCAAGGTACGATCCCCGCCACAACAGCTGGTGTACTATCGAGCCTTTACGGCAACCGCATGCAGATCATTGCATCTGTGTGGTTGATAAATATATCTACACCATCGGAGGACGAGACTACACCACTGAGCTGGACTGTGTGGAGCGCTACAACCCACAAACCAACACCTGGGAATATGTGGCGCCGCTGAAGCGAGAGGTGAACGGTTTGGGAGAAACCGATTTAAAGACTGTCGGAATGTCGGTTATCTGTAGATATGCTAACATTATAAATATTACTATTACAGTCGCTCATATATTTGAACTGCATCAGTTCAGGCAGGTCACGTGATCAAGTCTGGCGGTCAGCTGATTCATGGCAAATCAGATTCTTCAAATATCACTTTCCTATTAATACTACATTGTACACAATAATATTGTTCCTGGAACGTGAACTGTTGTGTGCTTAAACACTGTACACGACCAGTCAAACTTTGGAATAATTACTAATTTTTTCTCTATGCTCGGCAAGGCTGCATTTATTTGCATTTATTTGAAAAATACAGTAAAAACAGTAATATTATAAATAGGCTGTAATACTCCATTACATTACATTGCCTCTATTATGATATTTTAAAGGTTTGTTTTGGAGTCTCCTAGAATAGGTTTACATGCATCCAAGGTCCTAAAACACTTTAATTTTCTCATAATATACGTTGCAGCATCAGCTCTTTTCTCACAGTGTCTGAAACAGTTCGATAAAGGATTCAGTCTCTCTTATGGTGCGTTCACACCGGACGCGAATAGCGCGTCAGGCGCGAATGATTTCAATGTTAAGTCAATGCAAAGACGCGTTACGCGCGTAAAACATTCCTGGGGCGCGAATAAGGCGTAGAGCGCGGCGCGGTAGACGTGAATACGCCTCATTCGCGCGTCAAGTTCGCGCGAATGAAGCGTCTGGCGCGTTAAGCGCGTTACGCGCGAATGATTTAGGGCCCTTACATAGTCAACGCATCGGTACGCATACGCGTGGGCAACGCTACACATCGCTACGCTTCGGCCGCCATTATGCGTCGATGCGTAGCCAAATGTGTCATCCTAGTTTTTGATACGCGACGCGCCGATGCACGCAATACTATGCGTTGTCGGTGGGGGCGACATTGCAAGTAATGTACATTAAAAGGTATATTATTATGTTTACAGAAGAAGAAGATTTGAATACAATGGCGGGCGAAGAGGAAAAGTTATGCGAGCTTGTTCGTATACATCCTTTGTTGCCGCCGATGTAAAATCAGCAATATGCACTCCTCTTCAGTTGCCATTTTGATCTGAATATCACGTGACCCGACTCTAGACTCTACTACCCCCTGTTGCGCGATCGGTGTATTGCATTTCACGCATCGCCGGTGACGCTTGCGTCTGCTTGCATACTATGAAAAGGAGCGTATAGCTCGCGTCACTCGCGTTGCTTGCTCGCGTTGCTCGCGTTGACTATGTAACGGCCCTTAGTTAGTGCTATTTGTGCATTCAAGCGTTTGACGCGAATTCGCGTCTGCCGCCCGAGTTGAAAAATCTGAACTTCTGCGTCAATTCGCGCCACGTTAACCAATCAGGAGCCTGCTTGCTGTCACGTGGTGAAGTATCTGGATGCCTCAATACATTATTTTGTAATATGACAAAAAGGAATAAAATGACTATTCTATTCTATTCTGTTCTAATGCAGCAACAAAGCAAATATTTTATCACATAAAAACTTGATTTAAATATATGAGACATATTCATTTTGTATTGAATGCTTTTTATTCCATTTCTAGATTATATGAAATATTATTATTCTAATGTAAAGACAACCAACATAGTACATAATTATTCTAGACCTGACGGTGTCCGGTCTGTTATATATATTTGATAGATTAGGTTGGTGAGGGCGAGGGTGATCCTTGCTCCGATGCGGGACAACAGGTCATCAAACTGGGCGCGGGACAGGCGGAAGTACCGCTGAGAGCGGCCGTCATCCAGACGCTGCTCCTGGAGCGAGGAAATGGCGGAACTCGCCAAACTGAGTTCGCCTCCGAATGGTCTGGTGGACCCAAATACAGCGACGATGATCCGTACGCCGCTGTTCTGCTTTTCAGAGCAAATACAGAGCGGTGACTCTCTCGATAAATGCTCGATCAACATAAAAAAGATGGCCGCCAACAGATTTCGAATCTGACGCACGTAAATTTCGCTTCAAACTTTTGTTTTTACGCGCGTCAGTTTCACTCTTGACACGCGAATTAACACAAAGTGGTCAAGCGTCAAACTAAATGCGGTAGACGCGAATTTGACGCGCTATTCTTGTCCGGTGTGAACGCACCATAAGCCCCTCCTTTCCGAGAGTTGCTCTGCTCTGATTGGTCAGATGCTCCAGTATGTTGTGATTGGTCGAACGCTTACAGCGTGTTTCTTAAATCAAAAGCCATTACCAATTTCAGCTCTGGGTCTTCCTCAACACTTGATACACAGTGATACGAACCGTTACGATGGAGTCGGTTTTACCGTTTCAAATCGGGTCAAAGTAGATGTTGTTCACGAGCAGCCAATGAAGATCATAGCCTGTGGCATTATGCAAATTTGTTACAAACCTACGTAAGTTCATGCAGAAAGTAAGACTGGAATTACTCACGACTCATTTCAGTTCAGAATGGCTTCTTTCTTTTGGGAGATGATAACCCCATTTATCCTGCACTTTGATCTTTAACACTTTGCTGACCTTTTACATTCACAAACAGCTATAATACACACTGCATGAAAGGTCAATAATAGGGACACTAAAAGGATCATGTGGCACTGCAGAATGGCATAATGCCTGCTAAAAATTCAGCTTAGTCATCACAGGAATAAATTACATGTGAAAATATAGTTTTCAACAGTTGTAATAATATTTCACAATATTACTGTTTTTAATGTATTCTTGAGCCTTGATGATCATATGAGACTTCATTACAAAAAAACAACAACATAATTACTCCAAAAAGATTTGCTGGGAGTGTAAGCTGCTAAACGTAGTACATAAATGTGACATGAGTTTATGAACTTTCAGCTTAATGTCGATGACGTATGTTTACACTGTCAATGCCTCTGTCTGCAGGTTTATGCCCACACCGGGGCAGTGATTGATGGGAAGATCTACATAGCATGTGGTCGGCGGGGAATGGCTTATCTAAAGGAGACGTACTGTTACGATCCCAGCGGGAATCACTGGAGTGTGTGTGCCGAGGGCCCGGTGGAGCGCGCGTGGCACGGCATGGCAGCTCTCAAGGGCCGCGCTTACGTCATCGGAGGCAGCAACGACGGTTGCGGTTACAGACGAGACGTCCTCAAGGTACTGAACTTCTGAAACACCTGCCCTGCTTCGGCACAGTTTACAATGGGTTAGGGTTAGGGTTAGGGTTGGTAACCCACTCCAAAGCTCCCAACCATTATAAGGCATCAAAGACTTTCCTCTTGATGTGATTGCTATTCTAAAAGTCAGTGTGTGTCAAGGTAAATAAGTCTTTTAAGCCCCTTTCACACAGAGATTCCGGAAAATACACGGATAAAGCGACACGGGATTTGACCCGGGTTCGTTTAATTTTGGTTCATTCACACTGCCAGTGATGTTCCGGAATCAGAGAGTGCGTTCACACACAACCCGTAAAAATCCCGTAAAGACACGTGACATCGATGTGACATGTAATGTCTCAGCAACGTGTATAGTTTGCTTATGAGCTGTGATTTCTCTCTGGAGAAACCACGCTTGTGCATTTTTTTCTCTGATTCGATCATAAACTAGCGCATTACGTGCCGTTTCACTAGCCTGCTTTCACTTCACTTCAGCGTCATCATTACGACACGGCATTGGTTACGGCTTTTGTTCACACAGCGCGCGTTCCGGGACTGATTCCGGCAATGTACTAGGTCCCCAACCCGGCATCAATCCCGGGTCGTGTTTGCGTTCACACAGACGGCGTTCTGGCAATTTCCCGGCAATTTCCCGGGATCAACGCACTGTGTGAAAGGGGCTTTAAAATGAAAGATAATTTGACTATTTATGACAATTAAAGCAAAAGTTAGTTAAAAAGTTAAATAGCATGTTGTGCGACTTAAAAACATAAGATTAAGATTTGTACACTTACATGTCTTCAAGATTTTGTTTTACATGCTACACCATATGTCATTGAAGTCATTCAATAGAAACTTTTCTTGATTTTCTAAAACGAATGATATCAAGAATACAAAGAGTACATTCCAAAACAAACGTTACAAATTTTTTTTGTCTTTACATTTACATTTATGCATTTGGCAGACGCTTTTATCCAAAGCGACTTGCGTTGCATTTCAAGGTACACATTCACATTCTTATCAGTTCTTGCTTTCCCTGGGAATCGAACCCAGGACCTTGGCGTTGCAAACGCTCTACTGTTTGAGCTACAGGAAAGCCCAGAGACTCTTTGACCTTAGACCTGTTCATATATAGACCTATATACAGTATATGGGCTGTCAACGTTAACCTGTTAATGCATGCAATTAATTCAAGTTCCTTAATGCGTTAAAATAATTTAATGCAAAATAAATGAATGAAGCATGTGAAATTGCATCATTAACGTAATGGACCTCAGGCAGTTAGATGGTCTTGTGAGTCGTGAGTTTATCAAACTGACTGTGAGCATCTATAATGGCGCAAGCACCTGTAACCCTTGTAGCCGGAAATTTCTATTCTTACCCTTAAAGAGATAGTTCACCTAAACATGACAATTCTGTCATTAATGACTCTCCCTCATGTCGTTCCAAACCCGTAAGACCTTCGTTCATCTTCGGAACACAAATAAAGATATTTTTGATGAAATCTGAGAGGTTTCTGACCCCCCATAGACAGCAACGCAATGACCACTTTCAAGGCCCAGAAAGGTAGTAAAGACATTGTTAAAATAGTCCATGTGACTACAGTGGGTCAACCTTAGGTTTATGACAAGAATACTGTGCCTACAATGTAAACAGCGTAGGAGAATGACTGGGAAGAGAAGAAATTGTTGAATTAAGTCATTATTTATGACTGAGCTTGGTTAATCAGGCCATAAAGAGTATATTAAAGCTGCAGTCGGCAAGTCTGGCAGATTGAGTGGACTTAGGCAAAATTTTGAATGTTTACAACTCTCATGCCCCTCCCCCACTATCAAAGAATACCCTCCCACCGAGTCCGTGCTCGTCAGTGCGTGTGCACCAGGTTATCAGTGAACGCGCCCGTCTCATCAGCATCCATCAACACCGTGGAGTATTTGGAGGTATGCTGTCCTGGCTAATCTACCGATAGATTGCAATTGCTAAGGTCATTTATACTCTAAATGAGCTTACTTGATTTTCCGCCATCACTCGTCGTTACTGCGCGAACTTCCGCGAACTTCAGGCGTGTGCATGTGATTGTAACGTGTGCGAGGGGTGGCGTGTGCCCGATCTGTGATTGACAGTCAGATCTCACACCCCCCTGCGCTGATTGGACCCGATGATCCGGGAGCTGTGGATTTTTGCAAAACAAATAACACGCTCCAGGTGGAGTTAGAAGCTCAGGTTTTTTTCTAAAACCACTTTATTTATGTTGTTCTGTCGGATAATAGTGTCGATTTCACTGAATATGATCAAAAAAAAATTGTCGACGGCAGCTTTAACTAAAACCCTTTTTATTATCCAAATGTGTCATTAAAAATGTATAAAAAAAACATATAGACACTGGTTCATGGGATTATCGCCAACTAGCAGTGAACCATTGAAATTTCTAAACGCCTCGTTAACTGAAACCACGTGACTTTGGCAGTTTGATACGCGCTCAGAAACATTTGTTTTGAACAAGCAAAGGTTTTTGCGCTTAAAAACATGAGACGCACATAATAGTATTCACTGCAGAGCCGCATCGGTGATGAATGGAAAAGGCTGGGTCTCGAGTGCGACATGTTGAAAAAGCTGTGAGACATGGCGCAATAGTCAAAGACGATCATCTAGATCCTTTTTTAATATTTAAATACATTTAAAAATTATTTAAAATAATTATTTAAAATAATGATTTAAAAAAATTATTTAAAAAAATTATTTAAAAAAAATTTATTTAAAAAATTTATTTTAAAAATTTATTTAAAAAAATTAATTTAAATAATTATTTAAAAAAATTATTTTAAATACACCCCCCCCCCCCCCCCCCCCCCACCCCACACACACACACACTGAAGCACGCGTGGCGCTTGCAGTGTTTTTCGGCCTCTGCAGTCTCACTACATGAGAACATGAATGCATTTCCAGAGCCACTCTGAGAGTCTCTGAAGTTCATCAGCATTTTACAGTTTCATTTAAGAAAAACTATCTTTATATCATTAACACGTGAAACTCAAAGTTCTTCACCACAACCCGTCAAAATAAAAGTTCGGTTTAACTTGATAAAATATTACTGTGGTACAGTAGAATTTAGATATCTCAATTTAATAATAATACTAACACTAATAATAATAAATTATCAAAAAAACATTTTTTAAGGAATAATCACAGCAATTAAAATTACAACATAGAAGAAAAAGTGTATGTTGTTTGACAAAAAAGTTTAATTTCATATAAAAGATCAATTAAATTAATGTTAGATGTCTTCATTTAATTACTAGAAAATTCACAACAAAACATTTAATAGAATTTTTCTTTTTTTATTATTACTAAAATGGTTGTTTTTATTAATATTCAAGCATCACAGACAATGGCAGACAGCGACCAAGGCAGCTCTGGCATAATGTCGATAACACTTCTATTAATGACTAACAGTTTCTTTACAGTTATTGAGGTAAACATGCCTAAAGTACCGAAAAAAGGTACCGTTGGGTACCAGCACTGAATTTCAGGTACCGGTTCAAATGTGAACGGTACCCAACCCTAGTAATTACGTGATCTCCATAAGAATTTTGATTGGCCCAAAGCAGACTTTTTACGTGCTCATACCGGTAATCTTCATTCTGCATTCACACAGAGCACATTACCGGTAATTTACTGGTAATGTAACTTCCCTTACTGGTAAATTGCCAGAACCAATTTTCCGGTATTTTTGAGAAGGCCCTGTTCACACATGATCTGTTACCAGTATACACTGTATGTGTGAAAGGGGCTCTTGACAGGTGGTGTGTGTATATAGGTGGCGTGCTACAACCCAACAGCGGATGTGTGGTCTGTGGTGAGCCCGCTGCCGGCTGGTCACGGAGAGCCAGGGATGGCCGTCCTCGATGGGAGCATCTACATCATGGGCGGAAGGTCACATGATAAAGGCAGTCGGATGAAGTACGTTCACATTTATAACGCAGAGGAGGACCGATGGGAGAGCGGGACAGCCCTCGAGGACCGCGTATCGGGGATTTCAGCGTGTGTCTTGCTTTTGCCACAAGCAGCCATGGCCCAGGCGCGCAGCTGGGAGCAAAGGGCTAAAGCATCATGGGAAGAGGTAGACTGGGACGACTCGGACAACTCAAGCGAGGACTGATGGTATTAGCGCTGCTCAGGTAGGCTGTGAAGTTGCAAAGGGAGGGAGTTGTGTGCTTTATTAAACTGACGAGTCGTACAAAACCAAGTCAAGTTTTTGGGGTGTTATAATCAGATGTTTTAGATTGAACAGTATGTGTAACCCATCAATGTGGAATTGGTGAAGTCAATGTTTGTTGCCTGTCCAGTAACTCTGGGTTACATCATCTCCGAATCCAAGTCTTTCCTGTTTGTGGGTTAATTTTACTGACTCTTTTAGGTTGTTTTTCTTTCTGTTTTATATCCAGAACTATGGGAAACTGTTGGGGATGCTAACAATGTACGTGCACTTTACAAATACAGATGATTTGATTTGGTTTATAATGATGGTGCCTTTATTTTACTGATGTGTAGTCTAATGCCTTTTTTATGAATAGATTTGAATGAAGTGCAATAAGATTAAGATTAAAGCAAACGAATGCTCTAGTGCAAGGGTCGGCAACCTTACGCACACAAACTACCATTGAATTAGCTATGTTTCCATCCCTCTATTTTCATCCGCATTTTGGGATATCGCATTAAAAACTGCTGGATGGAAATTCCAAGATGAGTCTGGAAAAAATGTTATCCGATAAGAAAACATGCGCATAAACTACGATGGAAATGGATAAATTCCTTAACTGCGTGATGGGACGGCACACCTGTCCTGGACAAACCAGCGGGTCGCACAGCGTCTGAAATACGGTTTTGGTTGTTCTGAAATGCCTGAGCAAAAGTCTGTCGTCAAAGTGGTTCGGGATAATTATCCTCCAGAACTGTCTGACACGACTGTGTTCCCGAACAGCAGCATCTCCTTCCGAAAGCAGGACAGATAACGCGATTATTGCATTTTGTCTGCTGCAATTATAGAGAGTGGCTTCTCCTACTTAGTGATATTTAGCGCCAGTTTATTAGGAAGTGACGATTTTGTTCTCTTGGACTCACTGGATGGAAACGGTGCTTGATTTGCAAATGTTTTATGCGATGTTCCAATTCTGTGCATGAGTTATAAATTCGCAACTTTGGATGGAAACAGCTTAGGGTGACCAGACGTCCCGAAATCTAAGCTGTTGTCCCGAATCCCGAATCCGGCCCTAATTGTCCCGAAAATGATACTAAAGCAAAATCTTGAGTAGTTATTGTCTGATAAAAGGTTGAGTCGTCCTGCAGCCCCCGCCGGCTGCTCATTGGCTGCCGCATCTTTTTTATTAATTTTTTTGAAGTTCTACAAAGATACCGTAGGCGCGAATTTAGATATGCATTGATAAGCTAATATTCATTCAAATCAAAATATGAATGGCTATAGCCTGAAAGGTCTGATTTACGCACTTGTTACAACAGTCATTGTTTGTTTTTTCACAAAGTCATGCGAGTTCTTGATTTTAAAGTTGTTTTTTTGTGGCAGACTAAATACTAATGACAGACTGTTGATCTTTGATTTTGAATTTGGTTCAGGTTTGAAATTCATTATCTTTTATTAGGCTATGTAGTCTAATATCATAGTAGGCCTAGGCCTACCCCCCTCCGGTGGTTTTTTAAAGTTGCCAGCCAACACCAGCGTTTTTGACCATTTTCACAAAATGTTGATGGCCCCCAGAATATTTTGTCGTATGAATATCTGAACATGCAGCCTCTGCTTTTACACAAAATCGAAAAAACACATTTTATTCTAGCTTCACGCATTCTTTTTTTATCAACACTTGAATGTGGGTAAGTTTCATAAAAAAGCAACATTTTGAGCAAAAAGCTGAGAAAATCACGTTTTTATCGAAGAAACACATAAAAACAAATCAAAACACAGATGGAGTAGATCGAGTTCATCAACACCCCTAAAGCTTCACAGTCCTGTAGCTCGTCCTGGATCGACATTTCATTCAGTAACATTAGACAGTTTTGATTTATTATATGCCGTTTAATGTTGATGATCGCGTTATTTTACGCATATGATTACATATCCTATCTGCTTTTCTTCGCCTGTGTTTTGATCTGGAGATTCTGTATTCTTTCACAAGATGTGTAATAGCGCCCCCTACCGTATAACAGTGAAAACACGGAAAGCCGGAAAGTTCCGTCAGTGGCGGGGAAAGAGTTATAAGCCACAAAGGCAACATTATGAGCCACAAGCTCGAGTCCAAATCATCATATTAGAGTGATTTCTGAAGGATCACAGAAGACTGATGCTGAAATTCAGTTTTGATCACAGGAATAAAGTACATTTTAAAATGTAGAAAACAGTTATTTTGAACTAAAATGTTATTTCTCAATATTACCCTTGGTTAGCAGAAGAGACTTCTAAACTTGTGAATGGTTGTGTAATATATACAAACGGAGAAGGAAATCTGTCAGTGGTTTCTAATCTAAATTTAAAATCGCCCTTCATGTCAGAAAGGTTGCCGACTTCTTCCCTAATGAATGCTGAATTACTGTTGGGTAATCCAAAGAGAAATCAATTGAAATTGTAAAAGTTAGGCTAGTTTAACATGAGCTGTTATTCAAGTGTGTCTTTTGCAATGTAAAAAGCGATTCTGTTCTGTTCAGAATTCCTTTTAATATTATGCACTGATATAAAATGCACTGCTTCTTACTGTTTGTTTTTTGTTTTATTTATTTTTTATCTTCAATATATCAGACTTATTGCCTCTTTAAACCGTCGACTCTACATTTCCAACTGTCGACCTTAAATTAATCTGAAAATCAGTGATTTTCGTATTTTTAATAAATAATTTGTGGAATATTTGATTTTTTGCACCAAATATCCCGACATAAAATGATATAAATATACATTCACTCTACCCTCATGGTACAATACTTTATTTTGAAAATAGGTATTGGGATTGCTGCAATTGCTAAGACTAATTGTATTTCTTCTAATATTTTGGAAATGCATTTCATGGTTTAACTGCATTATTACCAGCATGCAATATTCATGAATTGACAATAAAGAGCAAAGGATTGTACTGTAGTTGTTTGGATGGCTTTAGAAGTTTCACCGAGGGTCAGATTAATAAATAAAGGCGCTGAGAAGGGGAGAGGGAAGTAATAAAGAGGGCATATTGTCTATGATTGATGTGAGATTGATTGAGGGACAGATGCAGGAGCATACGATGGTCTTTAACGGCCTCCACTGCATTAGCACATGCTTCTCTTTTTAAAGTCACCCAGAGGAGCTCTTTTAGAGCCTCACTTAAATGGGGTTTACGGGTTTTTACACCTTGAATTTTTATGCTCTCTGTCTGTCTTGCACACTCCTCTCATGCGCTCACTTCACTTAGACATAAAAACCCTTTCAGCGTCCTGTTTGGGGGATTTCTCCTCTCTCTGACAACAGTCTCATTGGGAGTATCATGTATTTCCAGCACATAACAGTCAAGTTTGTATGACATACATCATGCAACAGTTGCATTTCCAGCTTTTTTTGCCCCCTCAAACATCTTTGACATATTATCTTGATGCCAAATATATGCATCAATCAGATACTAGAAGTACCTCATGTTAAAATCATTTATTTGATGCTGTATAATTGTTACAGTGATACATTGTGAAATCCTATGATAAAGCAAATGCATCATATAACAAATACAGACTCATTTTAAATTCATTACATTGGTGAAATACAACTGGTTTCTGAAAAGCCCCTGACAAATGGATTGCAATCTAATCTGTTCATGTGCTGTTTAGACCTCATTTCTGATGGCCTATGACCTGCAAACTTCAGAGATATTCAGTAACACTTTCTTTCGATTGTCCACTTTAGACATTCTGCTAACTATAAGTAACTTTGCAGCTACATGTCAACTAACTGTCTTTAGAGTATCAGTAGACTGTGCTTAATATCTGCTAACAAAAGTAGGATATCGAAATAAAGTGTAACTGAATTTTCTCCTAGAATGTTTAAATTGTAAAGCTAGTGTTTTTATATGTTCTTCGTGAAATGTTATTATATATTCGACCTGAGATATGTGAGCTAATAAAGAACAATGACTATAGAGTAAAGGAAAGTCGGCACAAAAATCACTTTATTAAAAATGTGCAACGTTTTGACCCAAAGGTCTTCGTCAGGCAAACAACTTCCGTTTACTCTGTAGTGAAGTGCTTTATTTGTTCGCGCGCCTGTATAGTTTTTTTTGGATGTGCGCGCCGCGTACTACTACTTTGAACAAAAAAAATCTTAGACATGACTGTTAGACGACCATAAACCGAAAACTGTATGTGAACGCTTTCTTAGAGCCTGTCCATCACATGTATTTTACTTTATGATATTTCCAAATGAACTGAATTTTTTCAAATTCTAAAATACTTTTCTCTCTCTCTCTTCTTGCAACATTTTATAATTAGACCCAATTGTGGCCCTTGTATGCATGCTTAGTGTAAGTAAAATGCACCAGTGTTTACCATATTTTCGAGTTCCAGCCTTGAAAAGTGTCTTTCTCATTAGTATAGAAAAAAGCATATTCTAATTAATATTGTTAGCCGTATATGGAGTTAAAATCAGATATTGTTCAAGTTTGAGGTTAGTTGCCACAAAAGTAGCTTATTAAATTCAAACGCGGTAATGCTTGCCTGTAGTCTGTGTGAGTACCAAACAGCTGCTAAGCTTGTCTAAAAGATGCTAAAGAGCTCTGTAATGAATTGAGCTTGGCTAATTCTCCCACCCAGGACATCCAAACACACAGATCCACCTCCCTCCCCCCTTTACGACGGTCATTAGCGCCTGACATCCGTGACGGCAGCCATCAGCGGCCGTCTGCATCGAGTGCTGAATACAGCTCTGACATCCCCCCCATTTTCACGCCTTTTAAGACTCTTTCATGGGCACAGAGGGGCCTATGACATGCTTTGTTATGTAAGGTAATACCTTAAGTGTCCCAAGGATGCAACATCAAATAATGTGTGTGTAGACAGACAGAGATAGGTGGGGTTCCAATTAGAGCCAACAAAAGGGGAGGGAAAGTGAAAGAAAAACAAAACATATGCAAAGCTACACTGAAAGCGAGATACAAACGTGACAGAAATGAACCATCAAAAAGCAAATGTGGAGGTGAAAATTCTTTGTGCATTATTTGTTACAGAAAATATTGAAATATTGAAACCTGGTGGATATTTGTTGAACTGATAGTTCAGTTTTTTTGTGATTTGGCAAGATTGTGTGCAAATATATTTCTATAAAGTTAAAAAGAGCTGCTTATATTAATAATGACACTACTTAGATGTTTGGTTTGGCTTATTTTTGAATATATCTCTACTTTCCAATCATGAACCAATGGACTACTGCGATTATGCCAAATTGCGATTAGGATCTCACACAGACCTTCAAAGTGCTCTCATTAACTCTCACGGCAGATGTTTGTCTACTTCACTTCCCCTTGAACTCAACTTCTTTATGACCTGAAGAACATATCCATATATGAGCTTATTAGCTGCTTATTTCTTTCTTTGAAAAAGACCACGACCACAACATCATTACTGAAGATATTTACTGACCATTCTGTATTTCAGACATACAATATTGTAATTTCCAAACAGCATTTTTACACTACATATCTCTTTTTAACAAAAATAATATTAAGTAGCAGCAAAAGCAAACACAGAATAAATAGACATCTTAACAACAAAGCCAAGAAAACCAAAGCCAACAAAAGTCCTTTCTAGGTCCTCAATACGCAGGCATTTGAGGGTTTCGAGTCAAAATGAATCAAAAGTCTTAAGAAATGCATTTAATGGCACATCCTTTGGCACAATCGACAAGCACACCGTCTTTTCACACAACGGAAAGAATACAAAGACCCTCAGATCAGCACACAGACTTTTCTTCAATTAAACTGAAGCAGGTTCTTTATTTTCTATTTGAAATTTTGCACCCAAGTTGACTCAAAAACAACATTTCAGTTTAGTGCCACTTCCTCATTACATTCACTCACTGTTCTAGAGTTTATCTGGTGCTCGCAGGCACCGGGTGACGTGCGCCATCTTTTGGGTCAGGGCGTGAAGAACCAGACCTCATTATGCTGACTTTAGAAAGCATCTCGTCCCGTCTCTGGTTCACCAGCACGAGTAAGAGAACAATGGGTATTGGCTCCAGTCCCCTACATTTCCATGGTGGTACCCGTGATGGACGGCCTGGGTGCTGTATTCGCTGGGTAGGTGATGATGGGGGGGTGGTGGAGGGGGGTATTGAGCGGACGCTGCCCCGCTCCACTGTCCCAGAGACTGTTCTGTGCTGTAGGGGGTGTAGAGAGGATGGTGGCCCAGTATACCAGGCTTGGTCTGGGCTATGGCCATGTTCAGGACTCCTGTGTAGTCCTGGTGTCCCGCGGAGGGATGTGGGGGGCAGGTGGGGGGCAGAGCGAACTCCGGGGCGGAGGGTTTGCTGGAGGATTCGTGATCGGGCACGGTGGCAACATCCGGCACACGGGACTCAAGGCTGGAGCGGCCGGTGCTCCCGCATACACTCGCACTGCCAGCACTGGAGGAGGACGGCGAGGGGGACTTGCCATATTCATGAAATCTGTGGAAAAGACCCAATTTTAGCACTGAGACATTGACAAGGCAGAACCATTGGCGGCTGGTGGCTTTTAAGTCAAGTCCCCTTAGCACTTTTAGCAATATAGACTGTTTCAAAACAGCTTTACAGTGATAATAGGAAATTAATGTAACAGAGATTGTTTTGGCTTTACAGCAGATCTAGAATAAAGTTATTGTCCAGCTAAAGTTAGTTTTGATTGATTCACTTCAGTTGCAAAGATCATTAGTTATTAACTTAGGGGCCGCTTACACGACACCGTTTTAACTAAAAACTGAAAACCCTTAATGCGCCTCCGACCGCTCATTTGCACAAAACAGTGTTTGGTGGCTCGAGGACGCACACCTTGAAATAGGTTCCAAGATGCAGACATTGAATCATTTAGAAAAAAAAAAAGGTTATCTCCGCGCAAACTTCAAAAACGCCAATATGTGAATACGCCGACAGCGTGCACATGCGTATTACGTGTTTAGTCTATAGGTATGCGCAATTGAATATATGTGTGCAGGCGTGTAGTATTTCTCTACAAATTGACCTCAACAAACTCATAATAACTCATAATATATTCATATTCATAATACAGAATTATTCTTTTTTTATCGCTTCCTCGTGTCCATGCGAACCGCAATTCTTTTGACAACGTTTTATCTCTACAGAGGTTTTTTTTAAAGTAGAGGCCCACAACATTTTAGCTACTTTAAAATGGCTTTTTGGATCACTTATAGACCTGAATATTTATAGAAAACGAGACAGTATGAATATAAGTTACCTCACCCAGTCCTAGCCTATCACTTGAAGCAAAAACACTGTCCTTTTAAATGTCCGTGTTAAAAGCTGATTGCTGTAGCCTATATCCAGCTTAGGCATGGGGTCTTCCTTTATTTTTAATTTTTAGCTGTTTGAATGGTAGTTTAGTAAATATAAACTATTTATTTAGTAAATATCAAATATTCAATATCTCTACTCTCCATCAGCGGTAGCAGGTCAAACTAATATCATGACATTATTTACATCTCGTCGATGATTGGTTGCCCTGAAGTGTCAACTAGTCCCTCCCCTGTGAATGCCTCCTTCCCTTTACCTCTGTTCAGATAAAACATTCTCAAAATGATTCCAGTTCGCATGGATCCGCGGAAATGACAAAAAATTCTGTATTATGCAGGCCAGACAAGTAATTTGGCAATGTCAGTTTATAAAGAAAGACTACGCGCCTGCGCACATATTCAAACGCGCATACCTATAGACTAAACACATAATATGCATGTGCACGCCGTCAGTTTTCACAGAGATAACGTTTTTCAAGACTTTCGCCTTGGAACCTATTTCAAAGTTTGCGTTCTCGAGCCACCAAACACTGTTGTCGTGCAAATGAACGGCCATAACTCATTCAAAGTTTTCTGTTTTCAGTTAAAACGGTGTCGTGTAAGCGGCCCCTAAGTTAATAACTAATGATCTTTGCAACTGAAGTGAATCAATCAAAAACTTACTTTAGCTGGACAATAACTTTATTCTAGAGCTGCTGTAAAGCCAAAAAATATGTTACTTTAATTTCCTATTATCACTGTAAAGCTGCTTTGAAACAATCTATATTGTTAAAAGCGCTATATAAATGAAGGGGACTTGACTTGTCAAGGCAGAACATAGCAAAATAAGGTCTTGTTTGAGGTCAGTGCCAGGTACCTGTACGGCTGGTACGTGCTCTGTCCGGGTACGAGCTGTTCAGAGCTGTAGATGTCCCGAGGGTCCGAGCCCAGTGGGGACTCTGCGCGGAGAGCGTGGCTGTTGTCCCGGTCGCACGCACTTCCCCATGGGGAGTACCGCTCGGCCTTCACCTCCGACTCCTTACGGGGCACGTGTTCATCATCCAGACCTTCACATGAGGACTGTTGGATATCTGAGGAGATAAGTATCAAGGAGACTTGAGTCAATTACAAATACAGCAACTACTTGAGAATTCGTACTAAAACTATCCATACACGTTAACCCAGATCTAAACAATAAAGAGAGACATCTAATCAAAGGTGAAGACAAGTACCTCGTGGGCTTCCATGTTCAGAGTCTTTTGACATTTTCTTTGCAACTCTCTCAGGATCAGCCAGACTTCTATTTGCTCGTCTGAGAAAGGAAAGTTCAATGAAGTAAAATGGCTAACAATTTAAACCAATTTACTGAACATTTTAAAAATATTAATTTGTTGTATTTTACTTTACGTATTCGGTTTGGTGTAGTTATGGTCAAGTCTCTTATCGGCTATAATTAATATTTTATGATGAATTGTTTTCTGCATTTTAGAAAGTTGTTGGAATAGAAAAATCTATTTTAAGAGCAACCTGTAATGAAAATAAAACATAACCTCAAAATGATATTACCTTTTAGAATTTGTACCCTCATCTCTGAATCCTTTGGCAAATGGATTGTGGTCGATTTTCAGCTTTGTAATCTGTGAGAGAAATAATGGAACCATAAATCTAAGTTCTAATTAACTCCAATAAATAAATAAAAAACGCCATTATCTATTCAACCTCAAAATACGTGCATAAAAACCTTTCATCAAAGTTATACATGAATTCTGAACAATACCCGTTCTTGTCTTAGGACAACTTTGATGAACTTTTTTGATCCACTTCAAATGTTGAGTACTGTAGATGCTTGACAAAGAGCGGGACATGTTCTCCCCAATATTCAGAATAGCGACCAATCAATGTGTTTTCCTCTGCTGATTATTAAAGTATATTTAATATTTGATGTATTAAGTGTATTCAATAGTCTTACCTTTGTGTTCTGGTACGCTGTGACCGCAGTGAAGGTGGTCTCGGGGAAGGTAAAGGTCTGGAAGACGCTCCAGCGTACACTGTACAAATCATCAGCCTGGACAATATGGAAGCGCGGGTGGTAGCGGTGCATGGAGTGAAGGATAATCTGATTCAAAAGAAGAGACATGGGTTTAAATCAAAGTCAAATTAGTGTTGAACAAATGTGAGATTCAGAGTGGGACACTCACATGTCCATGCTGGTCCAGGGCATTGTTGGTAAGCTTGAGTTTGAGGAAAGACACGGACTGTTTCATCCAGTGGCTTCCGGGCGCTGGCGAATCCGGGTGTAGGTACGTCCTATAGGGCGGCTGAGGCTCAGCCTTCCCTGCAACTTCCCACTTGTCCTTGTTCCACTACGGAAAAAGAAGCATTTGATTGAATCATAGACCACAGAATAGCAACTACAGCTTCTACATTGGCCATGACATAAGGTGCCGGGGGTGCTGGGGTGCGAGAGTATGTGTGAACGAGAGTGTGTGTTGAGGTAAAACCCCCCATTGGGTTCTGTAAAAACAGGAAGAGTTGGGGCTCTTTGAAGTTGAGGAGCGCAATCAGTGGTGGGAACGTTCTGGGGAGACACATGTGACAACGTCCCCCCAACGCTCCAGCCGTTCACGATTGACTCCCAATTCAACAGCTCTTCATTTCAATAGGAGTAACGGTCTAGACAAGTCGATTCAAATCCATTCAAATGGATAAGACCTTAATATTGGCAATCACTACATTGAGAGTCAGTATGTGATTTTATTAGAGAATTACTAGATGAGTTTGAGGTTCTAACCTTATATCTGAGACCATCTTCAGGCACCATGTCCACCAGTAAGATGTACTTTGCATACGGCACCAATCCAGACAAGCTGATTTTGCAGTGTGGAAACATCCTCCTGTAATATAAGCATACAAAAGTACAGTTTATCTTAATGTCTATTCTAAGAATTACCGTCTCACACATACATTGAGGTCAGTTGATCCAAAACATAAGTTGACAGATTAAGTTTTAATTGAGGAACTTGGTATTAATTGAGGAACTTGGACGTACCTGCCAGGTTTGGTGATGATCATCTCGGTGCCGATCTCATGGAAGGATCTCCACAGATCCGGATCCTCTATAGTCATTCGGATGTTGCCTTGGTGGTAGGAATCACCGGCTCCAGCCATGGAAGGCGGAGGAGGGAGGCTGAAATTATGCTTGAGGTCTGAGGAAAGACGAAATATTTGGTCAATGGCATCCCACGGAAGAAGTCCCAGAGAAAATTCAAGTCACCAAGTCCAAAAAGACGAATTAACAATGAAGTAAGAGTAAGAGCACTGTAGGTGAATTGGGCTTAAGACAAACACTCACCTCTGATAGCCTGCATTATTTAGGCTTTTAAAAAGATGTCCTCCAGAAGAAAAGGAGATAAATGAGCAATACCTAGACGTTTCAGTTAAAACACAAGTTCTCCATAAGAACTTAAAGGGCTTGAGTTAAATCCAATGTTTGTTAAGTCCAAGGATGAAGTTCTTCAGTGCGTTGTGTCTGTCTGTTCCTTCTGATACAGATGCAGAGGCGTCCCACACCTTTAAGTGGGTTCTGGATGTGGGCGGGGCTTGAACCCCCATTCCCTGCCTTTGAAGTGACACAGTGATGAGTCAATGTCATGATCCGATTGGTTGATGTGCAGAATCAAAGAGAGTTAGCAGAGCCTTGATAGAGTCCCAACAGGAAGGGGACAAGCAGAGGAAACATGTCTTTATGAACTGCTAAAGGACTTTTAAACAAATACGTACAGGCCCAAAGAATACAGGATGGCAAATCAAGCACAAAACTCCCTTCATTAATCCAGCTAATGTGAGGAAGAGCAAAGACTTCACTTTCTAATTGACAGCATTACACAATCTGACACACTCGGCACTCGTGTCCGCGAATTCACACACACATATCCACTAATTCTCACTGATGCTACAGACACCAGGTCCTGATTTTTACAACTGTGGTAAATAATTTAAAATGCAATTGTTGTCACTTTGAGTTCTTCTGAACTTTCTTTGCTTTTCATATGTTCTAAGCTCAATCATTTTGATGGCCATCCTTTCACAACACATCTGCTGCGTCTTAAACCATGAAGAAAAAACAAAACCAACTTAACCTTCCTAAACTTTGGGTTTGGATTAATGGTCTTTCGTCAAACGCAGTTTTGAGACAAATATTGGCATACAGTTTTAAAAGTGAAGCTTCTCAATGGTTCTTTGAAGCACCAAGAAACACTTTTCTCATCAACAACCATTATTTGCAGTTCTTGGAGTGGCCTTTATGGTTCTGTGGAGATTAAAATGTTCTAGATGTATTACAAAGATATCATCAATTAAAATACAAAGTAAAGCGTTTTTTAGAGAACTGTGGGACTTCAAAAGTTGTGCCTTGGCATCGTGCTTTAAAATCCTTTTTGGTACCGATTTCAGGCTTTGTTTTTATTTTATTTTATTTGTAAGTATTTTAAGTATTCTGCAGTGATGCCATAGAAGAACCATTTTGGATTCCCAAAACATTTTTTCTAAGTGTGAAGAACGTTTTAAGAACTTTTGTGCAATGGAAAGGTTCTATGGATATTAAAGGTTATGGTCATGGAACCATATATGCCAATATGGAACTTTTGTACAAAAGTTCTTTAAAAAATGTTTGTATGTTTATTGTTTTATTGTTTATTGTTTTGAGTGACCCAATGTTCCAAATGAATCATGGAACATAAACTATATTATTTTGACTGAATCTTGTCTCAGTGAAGGTGCAGATATAACCGTGACATAAAGCCATTATAGAGTTATGGCAGAAAGCAAACCCTAGGGTAAATCTACAGGTGAGCTTCACCTGAGAAGGAGCGTGTGTGTGTGTTTGGTGGGAGGGAGGGGGTTGCGTATTCAGGGTGTCTAGACATGATCGTTCCTTGATGGTTAATCTCATTAGGAAGAAATGCTCTCTGAAGGCAGCAGGCTTTCTATTCATGCAGGGAGACACAGGCAGAGATACATAGAGAGGGAGAGATAGATAGGGAACAGTCCAAGAAGAATTGAGGCTACTTTAGTAGTTCACAGCCTGTTAGCACCACTGATGTGCCGTTTTCATGCAACATGAATAGAGAGAGTTTACTTGTATGAATGTCAGTCATTGTTATGCATCTGTGACTATACGCTGAAATGAGTGCTTGACTGACTCTGGTCACAAATGGAGGAACGTAAATTTGATCTAAATTCACGTTTAGATTTGATCGGAAAGCAGATGTTTTATTTTCGGTGTGTTTCTTTGGTTAAGTCGATAGAAAAAAGGGCTTAATTTATATTTTTTATATCAATAATAGATTGAGGAAGTGATGGGGAAATAGGAGAAAGTAATGGATTAAATATTATACATGCACAGGTCCCAAAAGAGACTTTATGGAAAAAATGGGATTCTTTCCTATTTAATTTTTTTTTTTAATTGAAGTTGTTAAATAAGCAAACTAATTATATGAGTTAGAAATATTAAAGATTCTGCACAATTTCCAGGGAGATTTGTGACACTGATCATGTGGCTCAAGTACAGTACTGCTGCCATTACTGTAAATTTTGGGCAAACTAAATAAGACATTTGGAGAGTTACTGTAAATTTTGGGCAAACCAAATAAGACATTTGGAGAGTTATTGTAAATTTTGGGCAAACCAAATAAGACATTTGGAGAGTTACTGTAAATTTTGGGCAAACCAAATAAGACATTTGGAGAGTTACTGTAAATTTTGGGCAAACCAAATAAGACATTTGGAGAGTTACTGTAAATTTTGGGCAAACCAAATAAGACATTTGGAGAGTTACTGTAAATTTTGGGCAAACCAAATAAGACATTTGGAGAGTTACTGTAAATTTTGGACAAACCAAATAAGACATTTGGAGAGTTACTGTAAATTTTGGGCAAACCAAATAAGACATTTGGAGAGTTACTGTAAATTTGGGGCAAACCAAATAAGACATTTGGAGAGTTACTGTAAATTTTGGACAAACCAAATAAGACATTTGGAGAGTTACTGTAAATTTTGGGCAAACCAAATGAGACATTTGGAAAGTTATCAGATTTTTTTCTAAGTAGGACCAAATATGATTCATAGTGGATTCCAATCCAAACTGGACCCAAATGTGATACTTTTAAGGATTGATTCAAAAGAGGTTTCATTTGCAATTCTGTACATATTCCTTTAGGGTGTTTTAAAACAGGAATTGAAAGATGAAGTTGATTTAACCCTCAGAAAACACAATCCACAGTTTGTTCTGTTTCTCCACCCTGGTATAGAGCACTGTTAGCACAACTCTTTCTTATGCTAAACATTAACTCCAGCGAAACAGACTCCTAATCACCGCCATTTCCTACATTTGCTGAGCTTTTGAGAACAAATACTGCCACACATAAAATAAAAACGAGTGCTATACTTGTCGGCATATTGTTGTATTGTTGATGCATACTGTGAATATGTGGGCATTGGAAGAGTTGGACGTCAGTGGAATTTTTTTTATACACGCTCAAGTCAATAATAATTTATATTTGCATGGTCTTTTCTTGCCGTTGTTCATCTGAAAAATGGAAAAGTTTCTTTTTTTTTTGAACAGCTACAATTGATGAACATATATTTATGCATTTACAAAAAGTCCAATGATATTACAATGGTTTCCTGGACATATACCAGGGTAAAAAAGACCATAGCATGATATTATTTGCAGTACCTTGGAAAACATGTACATTTTATGGTATGTGAATTAATATGGTAAACATTTAGTGCAATGATATATATCAAATTACCATGGCATTATCATCTCATACCTTCACTGAACCATGTACTAGAACATATGGCTGAATTATTATACATCAGATGCAGTATACATTTCTTTCAGTTCATTAAAACATTTTTAATGAGTGAATAATGTATAATAAATGTGTTATAACACACTTTATCAGTACTCTAAACACAAAGAGCAGTTCCGTTCTCATCTTTAATGCATTTCTCCCTATTGATCCACAGCAAATGAACCTAAAGTGTGTCTGAAGTGTTATTTTTAGTGGATATAATAAAGCAGATTAAAATGTTTGCTCTTGAATGGGCAGTTAAATCAGAGTTGCCTTTTTTACGAGCTAAAAGCGCTCAATAGCTGTGAATGTATTGATTGAGAATATTAGGAAGTCTACTCAAGTACTCAAATTCCTCTATACCAAGTTAAACAAAGCCCATCTAAGATCCTCACACCTCACGTCCACTCTGGAGATTACCACGCAGAGGCCTAAACCTGGAGAAAACAGCAGAACACATCTTTCCATCATGAAGGTGTGATCCCAGGTTTCATTTCCTTCACCTGAAGCTGGTCCGTATGATTCACACATGACGCGTGGTTCTCCTCACTCCGCTGAGGTTACACACACATTTCTGAGAGACTAGCGTATCGTTTTCCTAAACCTAATCCACCAGTAGCACACAAATATATTAGCACCCCTGACCATTAACATGTCGTTTTAGTGCCATTTTTACACTAGATTAGATAATACGGTTGGACAGGGGTGAAAATGACTTCTTATAATGCCTATTATAAACAAAATTGCATATTATTTTTGTGAATTTGTGTTTTACTCAAGTACAATTTCATTTCCAAGTCAAATCACACTTTCACCCTTTACATTCACTTAGACTTCCAAAGTACAAAGTCATTTTTTAGCAGATTATCATAAATCTTTCCCCCTTTTTTTTTTTGTTGAGTTTCCAAGATTACACTCCAGGTTGAATTTGAATAGCCTATTTCATTTAGCATTTTTGGATATAACTATAGTCATTTGTTCTTGTGAGGAAACACCTCATCTGTCACCACAACATAATCGTTGATCGAAATGAATATGTTCAAAGATGGTTCAACTGTCCATAAACGGCTGTATTTAAATGTAAAAACTAAATCGGCTGCATTGGCCATTTGACAAATCCAGGCACATGTTTCAGGACGGAGGATTTAGTTTAGCATCTGCAAAATGATTTTACGGCGAAGTTGTACAAAGATGTTTTACAGTTCAGTCTTTCTACTTCAAAATTTAACTTGTTAAATGCCAATGTTACTTGCCGTTTCCTTGTAATTATTTGTGAAATTTACTAGCAGGTTCTTTGTGAAAACTGTTTCAAAGTAAATACAACACTTTCAGAACATTGACTTTAAGAAAATTGTGATTAAAGAGTTGATTCTACACTATTGCAAGAAAAGGATCTAGAATCTTAAAGGTTCCGTCAGACGCTTCATATTTAGAACCTTTTAGGGGTTCCATCATGGGATCATTTGATGGATTTAGTTTTTACTAATTTATTATTAATTACATTTTATGAATCAAGCAGCTCACAAAAATACTTTATTACTAGAAAAAAAATGAAATAGCCCATTAAAAATCAGAGTGTTATGCAATTAAGTGAAGACATTTCATACAAATGTTTTGGAATAAAGGTTCTTTAAAGTCGAGTCAAGAACTCTAAAGTTCTATATAGAACCCTT